TCGGTGTATGTGGTACATTATTTTCAAATGCAATTAAGCACATTAACCTTTTAGCGCCACTAATCTGACATTTAATTTCCAAACTGTTACGATACATATGAAAACAAATGTTGCCAGATTCATGTTCATCTGTTTCAGAGAAAACTGAACACATTTTAGCTACACTCACTGGACATTTCACATTTCACAAAAAACAAATATGTGCCGAAATGTCACCACACTCACTTTTTTCCAATGATGTTGTAAACATACACTCTTAAAAATAAAGGTGCTTCAAAAGGTTCTTCAAGCGATGCTATAGAAGAACCATTTTTGGTTCCACAAAGAACCATTCTGTCAAAGGTTCTTTAAAGAACCATCTCTTTCTTACCTTTTTATAATCTGAAGAACCTTCTTTCACCACAAAGAACCCTTTGTGTAACAGAAAGGTTCTTCAGATGTTAAAGGTTCTTTATGGAACCATTTGGGCAAAAAGGTTCTTCTATGGCATCCTGAAGCACCTTTATTTTTAAGAGTGCAAGTTACATTAAAGTCAACAAGAAATCAAAATTGACCCTATTTAGTTTATAAATACACATATTTAAATGTCAATATTCTCCTCACTCTATTTAATGGAAGCCTGGTACCACCACAGAAAAAAAAAAAAAGGTAATCGTGACTTTTTATCTAATTTATTTTATTATTATTATTATTATTTTTTAATTCTGTGGCAGAAACGGCCTTCCATACAATTCTGACTCTGGTACTTCTGTATCAATGCTAAATCGATACCACAACAAATAAACACCTGATGGATGAAAGCTTAAATGAAACTAAAGCTGTGGATTTCATGATACTAAGTCATTCGTTTACATTGAACTTTTAAACGTTAACACTTTTAGATCCTTTTTTAAGAAAACTAACAAAAAAATGACAAAAATAATAACATGTTAGTGCTGGGCTCAGTAAATTATATGAAATTGATCAATGACTTTTGATTAACTGGATCTGATAAATTACCGAAAGCAGTCAAGGTTCAGTCACATTTAGAATTGTTCAAGAAATTTTCATGTGTAAAATTAAGTAATTTCAATAGGAATCCACAATTCAACATTTCATATGCGGGTGAAGATTTTCCCATGCATATTTTGCAACAGGTTCAAGAGGGCTACATGGGTTCGTTTCACTGGCTAACAGAAAGTTTTTGGTTGGAAAGTGACTTCTGTGTGAGCTGAGTCTCTATACGTCTCTATTATTGACAATAGACAGCAAAATTTTGCACCTTTATAATGTCAAATTTAATAAATGTATTAACTGTTAACTTTACGCTTCACATCACACTTTACTACCAAACTGCAGGAATAGCTCTAAATCAATGTGTGGTGTGACCCCTAAAATCCTCAGACATTACACGTGCCTGTTTGTAGATGAAGATCTTAATATGAAAAGATAATTAGGAAAATCTCAGTAACATAAGAGGTTGTTTCAGCAGCTTACATTTATTGTGTTGAGCCTGTCTTGTCTCGGAAAGGTTTTCACTTTGTCTTACATGGGTTCATAGTGATGGGCTGAAGGTCACCTTAGAGAAAGCACTTCAGACCCTCAAACAAAAACTAGTCTGATCCCTTTCATTGGCCCCAAGATGGACGTTAGTTATCAGTTAACCACATCTCCATCTCTGGAAATACCACAGAGAGGGTTTTATTCCCACCATGGCTCAGCTGTCAAACCAACTGAAAACGCAGAATGTTTTCCCATAATGCAAAGCATAACTTAGAATGACATCTTATTTCCTCAACTCCATGTGTTTAACGTGAGGTTTATAATTTGAACACTGTTTAGGACTTTTGTTTGGTTTTGAGCACTTTTCAGTCATAAGTTGATTCATCTAGTTGGTGTTTTCTAGGTGTTTTCTTTAACAGCTGGATTCAACTGAGCTGCTTCCAGAGCGGACTGTTTTCAACACAGCGCAAAGACGACAAAGGGGGAAACAGGAAACCAGCATGTTCCTATTTCCTGTAAGCAGGTGAAGCTGCACTGGTATTCTTTCTTTTATTCTCCAAACCACAGTTCTTGGGGTGCAAAACTAGAGCATTTCAGAAATGCGTTTCTTTTGTTTTCTTTTAAGATAACAGGCAAAGTTTTATTTGCATTGCTATTGCTGCATAACCACAATGTAGCTCTAAGTTCCACAAGCAGTTTGTACGTGCTATTTGGATGAACCAAAGTAATAAAAGCATGCAAAAGAGGATCTGTGAGAAACTGATTCACTCATTTATCCGCATGGACACACATATAGTCAAATACGTAAGCCTACACACACCCACAGCGAATGTTTAAGACAATGGCATAACCTCCACATTTTCAGAAGCACTCATCTAAATCAAGGGAAATTATGCTAATAAAGCATCTCATTATTCAGAGCTCAGAGAATCAGTCATTGACATTGCATCATTATAGATCTATTCACAAACACAGATTGGATTTCATGAAAAGAGAGACTTTAATTTCCCACACTTCTTCATCATTTATTCTTCTCTTTAAGGAACATGCCGTGCTTTTAGAGTTCTTTTATGGAAAGTACCGGGGCTTTGGGATGAAGGTAAGGGTTTCCCGGTGGAACAGTAGTGATCATTCCTGACAGAGGAGCCTTGTGTCCGTAGTCAGGGGTGCTTCAGTGGTCAAAGTGGTCAAACACTGGTCAAAGTGGGAATGTTCAAATTAAAGGAATATTCTGGATTCAATCAACAGCACTTGTGGCATAATCCTGATTACTGATTACCACAAAACAAATTGTTGATTACCACAAAACTTAACATTTGAATCTGTAAATGTTAAAATGCTCACTGTTTTAGTCACAAAGTCACAAAACATAATCAGTATGTTAAGATGACAAGATGAGCAAAAAATGATAAAAACAACTTTACATCTCAAATAATACTCAAATTTTACCAGAAAAAAATTATGTTAAAAATATATATAAATATTATATAATATCAAATTACATATATATATATATATATGTGTGTGTGTGTGTGTGTGTGTGTGATATTTTCAATATTTTGATATTTTTGCACCCTCAGATTTCAGATTTTCAAATAGTTGTATCTCAGCCAAATATTGTCCTATCCTAACAAACCATACATCAATGGAAAGCTTATTTATTCAGCTTCCAGGTGATGTATAAATCTCAATTTCTGAAAAAAATTGACACTTAAGACTGGTTTTGTGGTCCAGGGTCACACATATATATATGTATATATATATAATATTTTAGATACACTTTTATCTAACTGCACTCTCCGAAATTTCTTTTAAACGAACAGCATCATACTGTGTTTCTACAGTGTACTATGAAGGCACCCAGCATGCAATGCAGCATGAAAAGTGTTTTTTATTCTTGATGATTTTATTTGTGCTATTTAAATTGTTTTTGGTTCACTTTTAGCAGTTTGTGTTGTTTGTTTATTTTGTAATATTGGTTTATGTCGTAAGTGTTGTTTTTAATTTGTTGTGTTTTGTATGTCGAGTACTGATGTCACATCTTTCAAAGATGTATCTTCACTACTAGTTGTTTCACTATTATGAAAGATACATTCACAAACAGTTATGAATATGAAATAAGTTACTGATTTATCTTCATGCTTAAATAATGCTATAATATTTCATATTCTAGCTTGTCATCACTTGTTTTCATTTGTCACACTTCTGACGTAGACTAAATCAGAAATTTTAATATGAACATACAAGGTCCAAGGTCCCAAACAAATAATCACTAATCAGCATTATGGTGACTTCAAAACAATTACAGTAGCAGGACAACTTTATAATGTGAATTCACAGTAAAACGAGAGCAGTAAATTACTATGGTGTTAGCATAATTCTGCTGATCATTCAGACATTTTAACCAAAAATTTTGATGTTGATGGAAAAAGTCTGTAGACACATTATGTGTCAACTGTGTCTATTAATGCTTTGAAAAGGGGGGTTTCATTCGCTCGTGTCTGATTTTCCATAAAGCAAGCAATGTCGGAGTCTGTGTCTTATGACACTCTCAAGTGATTGAGTGTTGCCAAAGCTGCGGAGGAATGAAAACGGTTTGGAGACATTTGAGTTATCACCAAATAAGGAGGAGGAGAGAGTTAGAGGAAGTTGTAAAGGTGCTGACTTTCTGCTGGAAGGAAAAGAGATGGGAGGCCTGTTTTATCGGCAAAGGAAACAGATTTCAGAGCACCGGTGACTCCAGGAAAATGGATCTGGGTTGAGTAAAAACCACGATTACCACCGGCAACAAGAGCAGCTCAGCTTTGGATAGGGCCATCTGGAGAGGTCTGCTCCAAAAAGACGGTAAACCAGCTCTTCTGGGGCCCAGCTAGGAAACACGTTTTCTAAAAAACTACTCGGTCCCTGGGTGAGGAGTTTGGTTTTCCTCCAGTGCTTCTCTCAAACACCTCCTCCTCCTTCTTCCTCTTTACTCGAGCTGCAGATGCCTCATTCCTACTCATTCTGAAAGCCGAGGACGTTTTGCCGTTGCAGACGGAAGGTTGAAGAGTGCCGCTAGGCTGGTTTTGTTCCCGGTAGTGTCTGTCTGATTTGACTCTTCAGAAACCCACAGAAAATGTCAATGCCTCACGATTTTTCCTGCCTTTTTAACTTAAAAAAATTGAGAATTAAAGTATATTTTTTTATTTAATATTTTTTATTCATTCGGTCTGCTTTATAAGATGACCTGAACTTTGTTCAGCCATACACGTCATGTTGGGGTCTACTGAATGATGTTGTAAGACACAGTTCACACACCTCCAGCCAGAGCCCATGCTGCAGAGCGTTGAAGAGCTGTAAATCTAGGGCAGACACTGACAGAAGGGGAACATGCGGGAGCTCGAAAAAAATAAGTTTGACATTGCACATACTAAGGCAGAAACGGAGAAAGAGATCAGAAGATAAATGAATGCAATAGTTGTGGGAAACGCCTCTTCAGAGTGATTCTATGATGCGCTTACTGCTACAGGGCATATTTACTACTGCACTATGGATAAGAAAAAGAAACTGACACAAATGTATGCAATGACACAGACTAGGCTTAAATTATTCCATAAATAAATTTCCATTAGATCATTATATGATCACCATTATGTTTTAGTGTGTGTGTGTGTGTGTGTGTGTGTGTGTTTCAAATATTAAATTAAATATTAAATTAGAAACACAGAAACTGTTGTCACAGAATTTGTGTAGTTTTGTGGTGTTGACCACAAAAGTTAACCTACAGAAGTACTTTCTATATACAAAGCGCTGCTGCCACCTACTGTGAAAAATTGTTCTTACAGTGAGGTGTAATGTAAGCAACACAATGCAATAAGAATAGAATAGAATAATTATTATTAAATGTGAAAGTAGGGCTTAAACAGTGAATCAAATGAAAACATGCCCAGGTTATCAAAAATTTAAAATATATATTGTTTTAAATGGCTATTTTTAGGACTATTAAGCTTTTTCTTATTGTGACAATATTTAATTGCAATTTAATTAAGCACATTTCCCCTGCAAATTCCCCAATTACCATATCACAAGCACACACACACGCACACACACACAATAAAAAACTTAAAACAAATTTTTTTATCTATGTATCTATCATTATGGTTCATGTGAGAACAGTGATTGTCAATATAATCATGTTACAAAGCAGAATATATATCCGTCTATTTCCCTGCACTTGTCCTATGTAAGGTCACAGAGATGCTGGAGTCAGTGCCAGTGTCTCAGGCTGTATAGGCAGGGAAACATCCTGGACATATGGCTAGTCCATATCAGACAAAGTTAAATATCTCAATCTGAACTGCTGAAATGACTTACCCCACTGTTTGTGTGGAGTATATGGTAAAGAAGGCAGACTGACACCTCATGTCTGTGGTCTGTCAAATCGGGCTTTTCCAGTGTAACCAGGTATAGTAGTTCGGCTACAGAGAAAAAAAAACACCTTCTTTATAACGAGTTCTGTAGAATGGTTATGATGTATATACAGATACACAGATCATAGTCATACTAGCTGGCAGGGGTGGTGCGCAGAATAGTCAGAGGGATGAAGTCCTCTCCTGGGACGTCCACACTATCCATGTTCTCAGAGCCCACCGTACCGCTGTACAGTACAGCGAGATCACAAATATCATGCAAAGCCTAATAAATGTACTGAAAAATAACTGTCAGCAACAATACACTGGAATGTATGCAACTGATTTGATGTGAGTAATTTATAATGTATGCAGAATGTTCATTATCTCTAAGATCTCTGCATTTGTTATCAGTATAAAAGTATATGGCCTGATTTTGGACATGGACTGGTGCTGTTAATTGAAAACAATAGTCAGAAACAACACAAGTTTTAATACACAATCTGATATAAATCTGTAAATAGACAGTGAAAGCTCAGACTCTTAGAATTAATAAACCTAAAATTAAAACAAAAGGATATTTGAATCACATACAAGCTGATGGGTTTCCTTGCATTAAATGTGGCATGTAACTGATGTCTGTTCCAATGGGATCCAATGGCCTGAAAGCAATGAAATCTCTCGAATATTTCATCCTCAGGCCATCCAAAATGTATGAGTTTGTTTCTTCATAGCATTACATCACTTGCTCACCAATGGATCCTCTGCTGTGAATGGGTGCCGTCAGAATGAGAGTCCAAACAGCTGATAAAAACATCATAATAATCCATAAATAATCCACTCCAGTCCATCGATCTTGTGAAGCAAAAAGCTGTGTGTTAGGTAGAAAACCCAAAGCCAAAAAAGACCATCCCCTTTGGTCCTTTCTCATCAAAACCCACCAACATATTTGTTAAAAACTCTTTTGGAGTGCTTTTACTTGTATTTCTCTCCTGATTCAGACAAGACGTTTTCACAAGGCATTAATTGATGGACTGGAGTCGTGTGGATTACTTTTGGATATTTGTGATGTTTTATCAGCTGTTTGGACTCTCATTCTGACAGCACCCATTCACTGCAGAGGATCCGTTGGTGAGCATGTGATGTAATGCTAAATTTAGCCAAATCAGTTCCCATGAAGAAAAAAACTCATTGACATCTTGGATGGCTTGAGGGTGACTAAATTGTCAGCAAATTTTTATTTTTGGGTAAACTATTCCTTTAATGTCTCAGATCTTCACTGGAAGTAACCTCACATCCAGTGCAGCAGACTCACCTGCCACAGCTCAGGTCTGCTGTGATATCGCTTCAACATAAAGCGTTGACTCACAGGTTCAGTCATTTTCTCCAGAGTAGTTGTGGGTGGTTTGTGGCGAGGAGGTAACTTTGAGTCCCAGTCTACATCCTCATAAGCTCTATACCAGATCACAATCACATGTATATGGGATCTGAACACTCAGCTGGCATATTAGCTTCTACATTCTCCTACTTTTGGTTATGTAACAAATAAATAAATACATGGACATGAAATACTGATTTTAGTTGAAATTACAGTTGACATTACCATTGCACCAACATAGGTGTTACACATGCAGTATACTGACAAAATGTATACCCTGAAGTATACCTTGAATGCACTGTAAGTTTTGAATAAAAGTGCCTGTAAAATGTATGAAGAAACAAATGGTACAGAAATCTTTGGAAAAGTACCAGTTGGTCAAGTTGAGAGAGTCTTGGAAAATAAAATGTGGTAGCTGTGCTGTTAAGAGAGCTTTTAGAGCAACTAATCAGACCTTTGGGCTGCAGAGGTGTAGATGTATTGTCGAGCTGCCGCATATGCTATAAAAAAGAACAGATGGTTCTGCACCCCATAAAGGGATAGTGGACACAGTGGAAAGATGGCAATATTTTAGCAAATGTCCCATATAAAGGGTGACAAAATAGGAAAATATAAAATAGAAGTTTAGTTCTTTCTTGCTTTCAATTCTTTCTTTCCTCCAAAGAACACAAAATTGGAAATTTGACATTTTTTAGGTCTTTTGACAAAACAATGACTGGACCCTTTATGTTTAAAAAAAGATTCAAAAGCACCATAAAAGTATAAAAGTGGGTGATAACTCTATGCATGCGCTTTATTCCACATACAGTATGAAGCCATAACAAAAGTTTGGATTGAGAAACAGACTGATAATTTTTCACTGATAATCTTGCACAGTGAGCTGTTTTGGGAAAGGCGGGAAAGCGACGTTCCTGTTCACATGCACTGTGTAAATGCAGAACTGTTCACTCCATACATATGCAGCTCAGCAGCCTTCTCTCTCCGTTCCTGATGGTGAGAACGAGTCTGTCAAATGTCCCGTAAATTTTGTGATCATCCAGTATTTAAAGATGAGTAGGCTATTTTAAGATTAAAAAAAAATGATGTCCTCATATTGAGTCAATACGGGACACAGGAAATTAAGCCTAGTAAGCCTAGTAATATTTTTTTTTGCTTGTTTTGTAAATTTAAAGGTAATGTGTTACTTTACTAGTTACTTGAAAAAAGTAATCTGATTATGTAACTTGCGCTACTTGTAACCCCTAACACTGGCAGAGACTGTCCGTTTCCCCCTTCTGTCGTCCCATATCTATTACACATTGAAAGTGGCGACGCGACACTAGCTGCACGTACATGTGCGGTTTTCATTCAAACTGTCAGCTTTCTTTGGATGTTCGAGACTTGCAATACATTAGATAAATACTGTAGCTAAAATAACAATGCTGTGCAGTATATGGTAAAACTATTTGAGCTACAAACCAATGTTTAATTACATCAATACATTTAAACAGTTTACATTTACAGTTTGCAGTATCAAGTGGCAGAGCAGACTGTTTTTGTACAGACACCAGAAGTTATGCACATTCAGTACAAATGACCACACCTATTCTTATGTTAAAAATCAAGTGGATAGGTGAAACGCAATCTCTTACAGAGAAATGAGAATGTTTTAGTGTTTTCCTCTTATTTCAGAATGCCACTTTATGCAATAATCCTGGAATAAACTTGGGTTTTCTTAATTGCGTTTCACAAGTTCACACGTAGCCTGCATGTTATCAGATATGGTAATGTATGTATATTTGGTGTGCTGTCCGAGGTGAGGGCTCCAAGCTCAGAATTTGGCCCAAACTCAGAGTACTCCCCCATCCTGTCATGGGACAGAGGTGAGGGACGGCCATAAATACAGTCCTCTTTCCATGCTGATTGGTTTGAAATACCCATACATGCTCCTCCCAAACCTTGTTTAATAATCTTCATGTAAACAGGGTAATTGTGTCACTAGTTAATCTTAAGAGACAGATCAGTCCAATTCATGAAAAAAATTATTCAGATCTTATTAAATGAATGAACTAATGAAATCGAGCATTGCTACTTCTCTCATGGGCCAAGGAGAGGTCAGAAGTTAACAACTGAATAACTGTTCCTCGCACAAAACAAGGTCTGTCCCTTGCAGTAGTTTAGATTCTCAGAATACAGAAACATGCCAACAAACTATTTTTTGATACCTTTATGGTGCTCTTGTTTTTGAAGATTAAAAGCTGCAGCTACATTCACAGTACCTGCATGTATGAAAGCGACCAGTATACAGTTCTTCTCCTTTTCTCCTTTTATGTTCCAAGGAAGACAGAAAGTCATATGGGTTTGGAACAACATGAGTAAATGATGACAGAATGCTCATTTTTGAGTGAACTATTTCTTTAAAGCTCATTTCATATAATTCATGTTTAGTGCTGTAAAAGTGCTAAAGCTTCAAACGAACAGCATACAAGAGTATTATTACAGTAGCAGGGATGAATAATTGAGCATGTCTATGACTGACCGCATTCATTTCATGGTTGTCCTGAGAGGGGTGTTTAATACTCTGTGCATTTGTCCAACCGGATAACAAAGCAGATGGAATTTGTTAATAAATATGTAAGAATCTAATACTGTTAAATTGCTTTTTGTTGCACACTGCACACTCGTTCCTCCTCCATTAATGATTTATAAAAGCAAACAATTAACCAATAAATAGAATATATCTCCATCAATGCTGCATCACTCTTCTAGATGTGGTGGGGAATGTGGGACTATGCAGATGGAAACCACAGGTGTAATCATCAGCGTCCGCTGTTACCAGGAGACTGTGTCATTAGTTTGTCATTAGATTGCCTCCCGTGTCACTGCAGTCAGCGGGAGGTCAAATTACTGGCATGTGTCTGTAAATTGACGCTGGGACTCCAAGCGAAGCTAAAACTCATTATTGAGTAGAATTACAGCGAGTTCTAGTTTTTAATCTAATTTGAACAGTAAAATGTGAATTAGTAGAAGGAATGATTATTAGTGAAAGTAATAAGTAATTAGAGTAATTAGTGGATTTGAGTAGGCTACTAATGCATATAGGACAGGGGTGCCCAAACTCGGTCCTGGAGGGCCGGTGTCCCGAAGAGTTTAGTTCCAACCCCAATTAAACACACCTCAACCAGCTAATCAAGCTCTTACTAGGCATACTAGAAACTTGAAGGCAGGTGTGTTGAGGCAAGTTGGAGCTAAACTCTGCAGGACACCGGCCCTCCAGGACCGAGTCTGGGCACCCCTGATAGGAGGTATGTATTTAAAAAAAACTAACAGCAATATCACGTAATAGTCACTAGGTGGAGACCTAGATCAGACAATTTGAGCTACGACGGTGATTCACATTGTGATGGTGGTTCTTAAATAAAGCCAAATATCATTACTACACCCGAAGCATAACAGACACCTTTTGGCAGTTTCACATGTCAAATTTAATATCTTTGTGCAGATATTTTCTATATGCTGTATGAACAACGAAGTCCCTCAAAATGTAGGGTTTTCAGGCTGTATGATTTTCAATGATCATATGCTTAAAGGAACACTCCACTATTTTTGAAAATAGGCTCATTTTCCAACTCCCCTAGAGTTAAACAGTTGAGTTTTACCATTTTCGAATCCATTCAGCCGATCCCCGGGTCTGGCGGTAGCACTTTTAGCTGTAGCTTAGCATAGATCATTGGATCTGATTAGACCGTTAGCATCTCGCTCAAAAATGACCAAAGAGTTTCTATATTTTTCCTATTCAAAACTTGACTCTTCTGTAGTTACATCGTGTACTAAGACCGACGGAAAATGAAAAGTTGCGATTTTCTAGGCCGATATGGCTAGGAACTATACTCTCAATCTGGTGTAATAATCAAGGAACTTTGCTGCCGTACTATGGGTGCAGCAGGTGCAATGATATTACGCAGCGCCTGAAAATAGCACGCTCAGCACTGCTCCCTGTGCAAGCAACGTAATGACATCATATAATTAAAAAAAGACACCTGACGAAAAACTTGACAAAGTTCAGGCAAGCGAACAAAACTACATAAATGTTATAATAGATAAATGAAATGTGCACTGTTTTTATTTTATTTTAATTTTTTACATGATTCCCAATTATTTATATTCACGATTTCTAATATTTGTACAGGCTTTACATTTTTATTTCAATGTAGTAATTAGCAATTCAAATTCAAATTTAATTTTATATTTGAAAAGATTTGTTACGTGACAGCATTAATTCAAGTTTCTTAAGGGTCAAGATCATGTTATCTGCATCTCCTGCACTCCATCAAGCCACTCCCATAATATCTGTAACCACTCAAATTAATACACGACTCTACATTATCTGTGTGTAAGACTCTAATACAATTATGAAGTAATTATTTTATGACGAATAAATCTTTCAATGAGTAAAACTGGCTGTGTCTATAGTATTAAAGACTACACAATGTTGATGTTTATTATTATTATTATTATTATTATTATTATTATATTTTATTAATGTTGTTTGTTATGTCCTGTTAGCACTGAGAAATCATGAAGTATGCAGAAGCAACAGAGAGAGGAGTTTGCTTTATTGTGATTAATAATCAAAAGCTCTGATGCATGATTTAAATGAATTTCACATGTTAAATCAAATAAATATATGCTATATTTTAATATGCACACTGCTTTCAAGCATTTTGGTCACACGGCCTTCAGGCATTGTTTAAACAGGAATAAAATGAGTAGTGTGTGAGATTCATAATTTTTGTTAGACCTTTTGCTTTTATTTTTCCTATGCATCTGCTCATATGATTTATCAGGAGTTCCAGTGGCATTAATTTATAGATTAAAGGGGTCATATGATGCGATTTCAATTTTTCCTTTCTCTTTGGAGTGTTACAAGCTCTTGAATAATGTGTTTTTTGAACCTTAAACCGCATAAACACATTTCATTACACCAAATACACAAAATAATGTTATTTTTAGCAGCATCATATGACCCCTTTAAAATAAAAATATAAAAAAATAAAGCTAGCTCTAGACTACAATTAGCATACCAAAAGATATTCTTTAGTGCATAAGCTTAAGTCTATGGTGTGTTGGTCTCTATGGTCTGTATGTTCACTGAAGCAAAATGTATCTCATACAGTCTGCATCAGTGGCCAGAGATTAGTAGATGGTTGGTTTGATAAAAATGGTCAAATGCAATTTTCTTCTTTACACTTGTTTATAAAAACAGCTCTGTCATTAATATGGTTGTGTGTGCTTGCGCTCTTGATGAGAATGCCCTTGTATATCTGGGTGTCACAACGTGGTGCTGATGACGGTGATAAGCGCTGATAGCTGATGTTAAACTCGGGCCTTCGTTAACATAAACACCCAACAAACATGCAGGGAGCTGTATGGACGGGAAACGGCGGGTTAAAAATAGTCCAATTAGAATTATTTGACAATGTTGCTCTGCATGTATAACACCCCCGCCCTCCCGTTTAATTATGTCGAAAAAATATCTCAGTTCCGGTTCAAGAGAGAGAGAGGAAAATACAAAAACAGTAAGTCAGCACAGTTTTCAGTGGAGGTTCAAATTCAGACTCTCCCTTTAATAATTCACACCCTTTTATAGTGCTTGATTTGTTTCAAATGAAATGAAAGCTGGATACTGTATCTCAGGCTTTATGTTCTTTACTGCAGAAAACAGACCGTAGGTCCTGCTCGACTCAGTGTAACCTTAAATATAAAGCTTCAAGGCTGAATATTAATCATTTTCCTTTACAAGCTTTCTAAAAAAAACAACAAAAACAAAAAACAAGCAGCATAGCGGCTTTTGTGACTTGCACTGGTCCACATTTGAAATGCACAAGGAAAAGGAAAATCACATTTGACACAATCAAAGACTTGTCAGCTAACTAGTGACCAGCAAAAAACTCATGCTCACCCATGCGAAAATATACAATGAGATGGTGCTCATTAAGATGTGAAAGCAGATCAGAAGGTTTCTGATGGTTAATTGAATTAATCAAGGCCATTTGACAGTCATTTAACAGTAATTTATGTTATTTATGCTTCAATTTGCATTTTCGTTCAGTAATGCACAGACTGTGTGTTTGAAGACACACAAACAACCGCAGTGGTGTTTGCAGAGAAGTAAACAAATTCCTCTGTAAACAATTAAGAATTAATGCTTCACTCTAGGCCTAGAAATGCCATAGAGTGCTGCTCACTTCTATAAAATATTGCACTCCTGAATGAACTCCATCCAAAACGTGACCTGCAATTTGTGCTTTTTTGATCTTCCCGGGTCTGTGTGCACACTAATTGGTCATATTATCCCTGACAAGAACAGTGTGATGACATTTTTGCAACACCATTGGTAAAAGACTCCTCAGGCATTCGGATAAACCAGTGTTGCATGATCTGTGAGAGCGGCGCCCCGGGCGAAACGAGAATTCACCAGGAATATGCAATATAGACGCTCCTTCACGTTCCCAAATAATATGCTAAAAACATGTGACATGTTTTGTGTTAACGTCAGCGTGGCTATTCCGTTTAATTAATGCTCGATCCTTAATTTATTTGTTCTCGCGCTCTTTCGCTTGAGGTTCATTCAGTGGGGGAGCTCTTAATGAATTAGAACATCTTTGGTGCTTGGAGATGAAAGTATTTTTGGCAGGGATATGGGTATTTTTAGTCCAAGAAATAATTTTCTTCAGCAAGAGAGAGGGAAAGGGGGAGAGAAAGACAAAGTGAGAGTGCCATGTTGCTGAAATCTGGTTATTAGTCTGCTTGTCTGCTCCCTCCTTCCCTTCGCAGGCCCTGACATTATTTAAATAGCCGCACACCCATCCCATGGTGCCCAGCCGTGCACCAGAGTGGCTAATTTGCGTAAGCCTCATTCATCTAGAAAAAGAAATGCAACTGTAAATTTAAGAAGATGACATGAGAGGAGGGAAAATAAAGGGTAAAAGAAAGGGATGAAAAAGGAGGGAGAGAAGCGTGAACAGCTGCTGTGGAGTTTGTTAGTCAAGCCTACATACTGTCAATGTATAAACCTGGGTTATGGTTTCTTCAAAATTATAATTGGTTTTAGAGCTTGCAAGCCCCATCCACCACACTCCGAACTTGAATGACTTTCTTTCTTCTGTGGAAAATAAAAGTAGACATTTTAAAGAATGTTGGGGTCCAAACAAAATTTAACCTCATTTATGAATTTCATTGTATGACAGCCTTCAAACCTAAAGGCTTTTAAAATTTTGTAAACTTTCAGACACGACTTCAAAGTTTGTCTTGATGAACTTGTAAGTTACCACTTACAGTATTTTTCCATTTTCTTTGAGATTTATTTCTGGGCTATGTGTGTTTATTTTCTTTTTGGCCAGGGCTCTTTTTGGCTGCGTCCTGTTAATTATACAACAGACCCAGGATGGACGCTGACCTGTAATGACGCCTGGGACTGTGAAAAAGAAAGTGGGAGACAGTGAGTGCAAGTGTGAGAAAGAAAAAGAGAAACAGAAAGAGGGAGAGACAGCAATGATTGCTCAGATGATGCTTATTTATAAAGGTGCCCAC